ATGCGGATGCGATGCGAGAGCGACCACCTACCCCTCCTCGACCCCCCTCGAGCCTGCTTAAATATAATACCGTCCGTGGCATTGCCTTTTCGCACCTCGTGGAGATAGCAGCCCCGTTGGCCGACGGGTGGGCCCGGGGCTGGCGGCTCCAAGCGCACCGCACCAGGGGTGGGTGGGTGGGTGGGGAGTGGGGGTGGGTGGGTTTAGGGTGCCTGACGCCTGGGCTCGGCAAGGCTGCCCCACGCGGCGTCTGGTGAGTGGGAACCAAAGCTAGCGCTGACGGGGAAGGCGGCTCCTGTTTGGCCTCTGCTGATGATCCTCGAAAGAAAAGAAAAATGCAATTGGCGTCTGCTACTCGTGCGGCTTGCTGCTGCTCTGGGATGGCGTCAGCGCGGTGTCACCCGTGAAAAGACTCCCCCGTTTCTAAGCTGAGCGGACCACATGATTTGATTTCAAATCCAGGTTCAATTCCTAACCCAGATCTGGCTGTGAACAGTGCGGACTTCAAATATGCCAACAACTGTACTATACGTAGAAATTAATCCCAAAGCAGCCAATGAATAACTGAATACGAGGTTACAAATGTCAACCAGAGTAGATGCGACAGGGCGGACAGCACAACATGCGGTTGAGATGACAAATTAAACCCATAATCAAGTTGCAGCTAATTCTATCATGGTGTACAGCAATACAGTTGGGCAGGAAACCTGAACCGAACAACACGCCCGTGTGGCCGAGCAAATCACAGTGATTGCCTAAGACGAACACAATAAATGAAGCGATCGTGTGCTGAAACGTAATTCAGATTACGGGGCAATCAGACATGTCCCATGAGGCCAAGACAGTAGATCCTATTATGCTAGCTGCTCAGGAACATGGTACTGCCAGTACCCAAAGTGCACAAAACACAATACAATTAGCCTCCCGCATCAGACAGCACGGCCTCGGCATAACGGATCATGCAGAAAAACAAACGGAAAAGGAAATACTAGTAGATAAACAGGCCACCCACCATGCATCTTGTACTAGAGCTGCTAGTAGCAGTACAAAACAGAGGATGATGGAGTGGAAGCCCAGGGCAAGAGAGTGCGTGCCGGCGGTCCGTCCAGCCGGCAATCAGGTCAGCGTGCTGTGCCGGGCAATTCAACTGCCACCGCCGATTCCCGCTTGGGTGGCCCGTCGAGTCCAGCGTCCCGGCGCGAGATTCCCTGCCGTTACTCGATCAACTCTCGCGGCCTCCCGTGGATCTGAGCCAGCCACCGCGTCGCGTGCGTGGCTCAGCTTCATCCCCCCGCCCGCCCCTAGGACTAGGACTAGGAACACGCACCGAGCGCCGGGGACCAGGAAATCCGTCCGGCGATGCGGCCCGCCCACCGAGAGTATCTAGCTACTGCCTGCCTCACCGACGGTGCCGCCTCAGTTCCTCTCCGCCGGCGGAACCCTCGCTCGGGCCCGGGCCGGCGGGCTCGCGGCGGAGATCGGTCGGGGCACAAGCAAGGAAACAAACGAGGGGAGGAGATTCGGGAGGGGAGGGAAGGGGACGAGTTGTCTGACCTGCCTGCCTGCCTGCCTTGGATGGGATGAGATCCGCCTGCGCTGCGCGGGTCGAGGGAGAAGGAAGACGAGTGTTGGGTTCGCGGTGCGATGCAGATGCGATGCGAGAGCGACCACCTACCCCTCCTCGACCCCCCTTGAGCCTGGTTAAATAGCGTCCGTCCGTGGCATTGCCTTTTCGCACCTCGTGGAGATAGCAGCCCCGTTGGCCGACGGGTGGGCCCGGGCTGGCGGCTCCCAAGCACGCACCGCACCAGGGGTGGGTGGGTGGGTGGGGAGTGGGGGGTGGGTGGGTTTAGGGTCTCTGACGCACGGGCCCGGTCGCCCGGCAAGGCTGCCCCACATGGCGTCTGGTGAGTGGGAACCAAAGTTTGCGCTGACGGAGAAGGCGGCTCCTGTTTGGACTCTGCTGATGATACTTAAAATAAAAGAAAAAAGCAATTGGCGTCTGCTACTCGTGCGGCTTGCGGCTGCTCTGCGATGGCGTCAGCACCGCGTCACCCGTGAAAAGATCAGCTGTGCTCTGTGATGGGTTTTTTTCATTGTTTTTTTTTACGTGTGAGGGGAATGCACTGGAGGAGAGGAGGGGCAGATGAATTATGCCAACAGGTAAAAGAAACGCTGCTTGTTTTTTAAGTACATTAGTATATATAGAAATAGCGGGGTGTGCATGTTTTATGGTGTTTAAGCAAAAATCGGCTTGTTTTTCTAAGCATCTAGTTAAGCACTTTGCATTGTTGATGGGGCATGGGCTACAAGAAATTCCTACTGTACTTTCGACAAACTGTAGATCGTACCTTTCTGTAAACATGGCAAATCAAACCATGCGTGCAAACCGTACCGCCGCCAGCCGTGCAATCTACTCCTAGATCGCAACTTTGCCACGACAAGGGTGAGAGGTGACACTAAATGCTGATACAGCTTTTGTTATCAGCAGCAACGAGAGAGACGGATCACTGTTGGTGGAAAACGCTTGGGACGTGCAAGTGACAGTGACGCTTACGTACTGCACGTCGTGGAAGATGCCGCCGGAGTGGTTTAGGTAGAATTCATAAGTTTAAGGTTTTCAACCAGTGCAAGTACGTGACGTGGGGATTAAACTAGGGAAAAGATATTATTGGGACTTGTGGAAGCATTGTGTAAGGTTGGTCATAGTGGGGAGTAAGTTACTACCTTCATAATGCAAAGTAACATAATAGTAGTATCATAGATGGCTTCATTTATTAGCTCGTAGACTCATCTTGTCTTAGAAAACGCTATGTTACAGTAACATATTATGTTACCACCTTTCATTAATTACTTGCCACATAAGCATAATTTTCTTGAAGTGCGCTATGTTACTACTCCCTCCTTCCATCTATATAGGGCCTAATGTGTTTTTCAAGACATCCTTTGACTATTGACAAGATTAATAGTACATGACATGCATAATGTGAAAATTATATCATTGAAAGCTCCTTTCACATATGAATTTGACGATGTGCTTTGTGTAAGTTGCATGTCATATATTATTGCTCTAACATTTGGTCAAAATTAGCCTCGAAAAATGCATTAGGCCCTATATAGATAGAAGAAGGGAGTAGCTAAGTTACTCCCACTATGACTAGCCTAAAGCACTACTACCTCATTTGACGATTTCACCTGAATGTGATTTTTTTTTTGCTTTTCTAGAGCATGTTGGGATTCGCCAACGGATTAATCACATGAAAAAACACAAGCACACATGCACGCGAAAATCCTTTGGCCAAATGCATATGTCGTGCCGTGTTGTCTATGTACTTCTTCTCTTTGTCTCACGATTCAAACTCCTAGGCTTAGCACACAAAACCGGCTCT